ATAATGGCCACCTCCAAGAATTATGGAAAAAAAAGGTTCGGATCACTTCCGGGATATTTTGAACCCTTATGGGGAAAAACCCAATTATGGAAAAATCGGACGCAGGCGCCGCCTGTCCAAGTTGAACGTTTTTTTTTTCCATAATTCTGTCGGCTACCATACATTATACATAATAAAGATGTACACAATATACATGTAGAATCATGTACTAATATTTGTATATATATATGAATATGTAATGTATGTATTTATATAATGTAATGTGATGTAATGTATTGTAATGTAATGCAATGCAATGTAATGTAATGTAATGTAATGTATGTACGTAATGCAATGTAATGTCATGTCATGTAATGTAATGTTATGTCATGTAATGTAATGTTATGTAATGTTATGTAATGTAATGTATTGTAATGTTATGTAATGTTTTGTAATGTAATGTAATGGTATGTATGTACATATGTATGTATGTAATGTATGTCTGTCTGTCTGTATGTATGTAATGTAATGTAATTGTAATGTAATGTAATTTAATGTAATGTAATGTAATGTATGTATGTATGTAGGTAAGGTAGTAGTAATGTATGTATGTATGTAATGTAATGCAATGTAATGTAATGTAATGTAATGTAGTGTAATGTAATGTAATGTAATGTAATGTAATGTATGTATGTATGGTATGTATGTTATGTATGTTATGTATGTTATGTATGTTATGTATATTATGTATGTTATGTATGTTATGTATGTTATGTATGTTATGTATGTTATGTATGTTATGTATGATATGTATGTTATGTATTGTTATGTATTGTTATGTATTGTTATGTATTGTTATGTATTGTTATGTATTGTTATGTATTGTTATGTATTGTTATGTATTGTATTGTATTGTATTGTATTGTATTGTACTGTATTGTATTGTATTGTATTGTATTGTATGTATATAAATATATATGTATTAATGTAATGTAATGTAATGTAACGTAACGTAACGTAACGTAACGTATGTATGTATGTATGTATGTATGTATGTACGCCCCGTATTCATTTGGAATCAAAAAATGATTTTCGGTGGGTGACTTAGGATGATTCAGCCAGATGTAGGTATGTACATATATACAATATATATATATATATTCTTGTCATCCAACATTTGGCTTAGGTCCACTTTACACATCTTGATAATTATGCCCACCGATTTTGTTTGTCCACATGTGTATTGTTGCTTTATTTGTTGTTGCCCAGACACATCGTTGGACACAGAAGTTGCTTCGAGCCAGGACGAACTGGAAGGTCGAGCCATGATGGCCCTCAACAACTTGGAAACTCGAACCCTGCAGAAGATTCAGGACTTTCGAAGCTACCACGAGATGGGGGCGAGGCTTAGAATGATGGGGCTGGGGTGGTTAGTGCCCGATTCCTAGTGTTATTTGATTTTTAGGTGGGTTATAACCCCACTTACTAACCAGTTATTAAGTGGGATGATCCTCCAAGTAGGGTAGGGATGGGATGGTTAGTTGAAATGAAGCAGACATACCCTCCATTCATCCAAGGTTGCAACAGAAACTCATGATATAGAGGGACATTTCCCATTGCCATGTTTCGCTACCAGATGGTATTTGTTCAATTTCAGGTACCAAACTCGTCGGGAGCTGATGGTAGCCGGGCATGGAAGGAGGGATGGGAATTTCAAAGCTGGTGATTGCTGGTAGCTACCGATAGTTGATTGCATTTGATTGCCGGATGGCTGCAAAGTCACTTGAGTCGTTGTAAAGGTCCCCCAGTGTGGATGTTTGTTTGCTTGCGTAAGTCGTAAGTGGCTAACGACCATGACTAACAACCATGAGTAGTTGACCAACAATGATACACAGGACCAACAGGACTCGTGTACATATTGCCACCACGGCTATCGAACACTTGTTGACTGGGATGCTAACAATCAAGAAATGCAACTTGGAACCAGCCAACGGAACTGCAACTTAGAATAAATGAAACTCACAACTCACAACTGATGACCGAAAGTGGTGGTAGAGCCTACCAATACAATGGGCCTTTACCGGCCTTTACCCCAACAATGATATTGATAATTATGATAATACATCAACACATATCAAAACACATCAAAACATATCAAAACACATCAATACCAAGTGACAATCGTCATAGTCCCTTGGTCTAACAAACACAGATGTACCTAAACAAAATAGGGTTGTAAACCCAACAACACACCTCCCATTGAAGCTCGCTTAGACAATCCGTTTCAGCGCAAATTGGGCATGAATGATCTCTTTTGGTTGGTTAAATCCCAATTAAATCCCCTAAAATCCAATCAAATCCTATCAAATTCCATCAACATCACTATGAAATCCCATGAAATCCCCATAAAATCCTTTAGGCTGCCATGGCAGGACAGTGCCGACTTGGAGCGCGAGAAGACACGAAATGAGATGACACGGGCGCTGGAGGAGGAAAGGACGGAGCGACTGCGAATGGACGAGGAACTTCGAGAAGAACATTTGAGGCATTTGGCCGAGATGAGCAGCTCGGAAAGCTGATGGGCAGGATGATGATGATGATGATGATGATGGTGATGATGATGATGATGATTATGATTATGATTATGATTATGATTGGGTTATGACAAATGGCATATATATAATATAATATATATATATACTATGGATCTATGGTTCACACACAAGGGGAGCCCGAACGGAATTAGATCTCATGGAACGTGCGGACTTCGTATATAGTATAATTTAGTATAAATTAAATTAATATAATACAATACAATATAATATGATATGATATAATATGATATGATATGATATGATTTCATACTATAATATAATATCGGTAATATAAAACATAATATGTATAATACCTACACTATAATATTATATGAGTCCGTTGAAAGCTGCTGCGAGAAACACATCTGAGTGCCTGCATCAAAGGGCCTCTCTATATACGTTATATATATCACACATACATATATAGTATTACGTATATTTACATACATATCTATATATACATACATGCATGCATACATACATACATACATACATACATACATACATATGTATATATATATATATCAGTAGATATTATAAAGATTATCAGTTGTGTTGCAAGGGGCCTCGGAACACCTTGGAAATTTGAAAATCCAACTGTTCCAAACGGCTGTCCCAGAAAAGGATGGTGTTAATTTGGTGTCAACTGAGGAGAGCAAGTGGATGACAACAAGAAAGAGCTGAATGAAATCGTTCAGAACGCAGAGGAGCTTGTTCTGGAGTCAATCGCAGTCACGCCCGGCTGGTGCCGATTTTGGGTGTACTTGGTGCCTCTGAATGTTGTAGGATTCCTAGTCATGGAACTGCGGTGCGCGAAGATAGACACAGGTTCATGGTGACTGAAGAATTTTCATTTAGTGAAAGCACAGTCACGTAGATTCCAGCACATCACTGACCTTATGAACGTACTTGGATGGGCCGTGGAGTCAGTTACTGGTAGTACCTTCCGGTAATCAAGCATGGCAAGGCTGGGAAATCCCTTACTCAATGGGTATTAAAAATCTGAAAATCATTGAACCAAATGGATGATTTAGACATAGCCTCCACCCACTCACAGTAGGAAATGAAGGTTGAAAACGGAAAACCCTACTAAAGGGATGATAGTTCCGGTCATCCGGTCCTCCGGTCATCACCCCTAGTGAAGGCTATTTTAATATACATATTGCATATGTAATAATATGTGTGTATATATATATACATATCCAGTTATAAGCCCAATGGGGCTTGTCTGGAATCCGGGATACCCCCAATGGCCCGGTTAATGGAAGGATTATGATTTTAAAATCCAATAGATTTGAGGGTATATTGTGTGTTTAAACAACGCCAGTGACCTTCCATGGCCCCAACAAGATGCTGAACAAGTTGGAATCCTGGAACATATGATAAAAGATCATATTATTTATACCCTCTGGTTATGACTAACATAGCCATGGAAAATCCCTTATACATGGAGGTTTCTAGCTGGGAAAATCATCTATTTCTATGGGTCATTTTCCATGGCTATGTTAAATAACCAGAGGGTATATACTATATATAATTACATTCCTGGGAATATGTATCTATTTTTTTTCGGGGTTAATTCCCATATGCTCCATGGTGCTGGAATAGTTACCTACACTTGGGCGATGATTGCGAGACTTGTTGGTACATATTCCAGTATCATGAAGCATATGGGTTATATTCTGCAACTTATTAATAAGATTTTGGATAAATATGGATAAATGATATTAAACCATAATTAAGTACTTATTACATCTATTGATAATTATTAAGTACTACAACCATTAATTAAATACTACAACCATTAATTATAATCAGTCATTTATTGATCATCTATTTATTTTACAACTGGCCCATCTCGTGGGCGCGCCGCGGCGCGCCTTCACCAGGAGCGTTTGGTCAAGCGCTTGGAGGATCAAGTAACAGTCGAGCGGACGAAAACCCGAGCCTTGGAAAAATGGGGGTGGATTTACCCTTTGGTAATTCGTTACATAGCTATTGAACATGGCCATTGAAGGTTAATTTAGCTAGTCAGAAAAACGGGATTGGTGGATTTCAACATGAAAAATGAGTTTTTTTGGTTGTGAATGACATTTATTGGATTTACCTATGAAGAATTGGGATTTAACCATGAACACTTTGGATTTTGCTTTGTTTAGCCAACGACTTAGTGGCTTTTGGGTGTGTCTGGAAATGGGGTGTACCCCAATTTATGGCCATGTTGATAGGGAAAATGACGTTTAATCGTTCTGCTGGCTTGCATAGCTGTTGTATTTCTATAAATGTATTTAACTTGTATAACCAACGAAGGAAGAGTTCAATCAGGTTCAATACATGACATGACAGCCATCTTGGGTTCCCAGGAATTGGCAGTTCCTCGAAAGCCAACATTCCCCACATTTTTCATGGCTAAGCCGAGGCGAACAGATCGAGGCCTTCATCGAGGAAGAACGCAGCGAGAGGCTGAAGGCGGAAGCTGAGCGCTTGACATCGCTGCAGAAGCGGCTGCAGGCGCATGAGGTGCGGAGCCCCGGCAGTCCCGGCAGATGGCGGCGGATGGGATACCCTTTGGATCAACCATAGGATATAATGACCCAGATGGGTTATATCAGTTATATCCACTGGGATATAACATAGCTAGCTGGGTAGATTATAACGACCTATATAAGTTCAGAACTGGATTAGAACACATCAAAACGAGCTGGGCTTTGTCATGGGAATATCATTCTTAACCAGCTGCCAGCAACTCGATGGCATATCTGTTGGAGTCATAAATGGGGATTGGACCAACTGTTTTATGGGGATACCGCCCAGTAAACTGACAAAGCTATGGAAGCCATGGCCCATGTAACTTAAGGATACTTAAGGATCATTCAGCTAGCTTTAAAGATGGTGATTTCCAGAGCAAACTGTTGAGGGTATATGATATAATGGGATACACAACCAATGGTATGATAGTTGGGTGTGTCTGAAATTTTAGGATACCCTTTCATCCCCATGGCATCCACAGCTGAATCATACTTATCCCGCATATCCCTATTAAGTTTGCATTAGTTTGCTATTTGAGGGTATACCGTACATTTTTAGACACTTGCATAGTTGGATGGTTGGGAGATGTTAGCACCACAAGAGATCACAAGAGTATGTAAAATACAATGGTATCTAGACTTATATGGTGATAAACTGTGATAAACTGGGCGGTTGAGGTGTTTTTATGTCACTATGTACAACTGGATGGTGTACGCAGGATCCATGTTGTCTTTTGGATGACATTTTTGGGAACAATTTCGGAAGATGGACAGCCAAAATGAGCAAGAACTCCAGAAGATAGCGGGAAGGTCACCAGCTTTCTCAGGTGGGTGCTGTAGTGGGTTCTGTGCAAGTCACAAGAAATAAGATGCCAAAAAGAATCCGAAAATGGACGTTTCCATAAATGGGGATACAAAATGGAAGGTTTATAATGGAAAGTCCTATTAAGATGGATGATTTGGGGGTACCCCTATTTCAGGAAACACCCATATAGGAGGTCTTTAAACAGGTTCACAATGCAGAGGAATTGTCTCCTCTTGAAATGGGGTGCGCAACAACAAATACATGACCGAATTACCGAATCATTTGTTAATATATCATCCCTATTGAAATTGCCATCAATTGGGGGTACACATGGGTATACTCCATTTTCAGGTCCACACCCACATCCATTAAGTTATTGGTTGAATATACTCAAAACCTAATTTTTGAGAGTAAAATCAACATTTCGATTGTTAAATCCCAATTTTGCACCATGTTTCATGGCAACATTTGTTGACATCCACATTTTTTCTTGTGAAATCTGTTACATTCCGCATTTTTTTCTGATAGAATCTGTTGAAATCCAAAATTTGCTACATTCCCCATTTGTCTGGTGAAATTTGTTAAATTCCACATTTTTTCTGGTGACATTTGTTAAGTTCCCCATGTTTTCATGGTGAACTCTAGCATTTCGCGGCCGTCTTCTGGGGCGTTTGCTGCTTATAGGAGCTCACCCTTCAACGGCTCAGCGAGCAACGGGCGCGCTGGGAGACGGAGGTAGAGACGCTGCGTCAGAAGTGCCTCGGCTGGGAATGGAGGTGTCCATTTACCCTCTGGTAACTTAACATACTGTGGATGGAAGAAATCCTGCACCAGTTGATAGATGGTTTATCCCATTATTTATAGGGTTTCAACCATCCTTTTGGTGGTGCAGGATTTCTTCCATCCACAGTAGCTATTGAAAATGGTCATTTATAGTTGATCTACAAAGTAAAAATGGTGATTCTCCATAGCTATTGTTTAACTACCAGAGGGTAATGGGGGTAGCCTAAAACCCATGGATTTTTGCAATACTACACTGGCATTTTTTTTGTTCGGATGAGTTGGGGGTTATTTGCCATTTTAGGACACCTGCAAATGGAGGTTTATAGCTGGGAAAATCATCGAACTAAATCATGTATGATGGATATGTATATATATATACACATAACGGGGATAGTATTGGATAATACCAAGTTTGGGATGAACAAGAATGGTGGTTTAATCAACAGAAATTGTGGTATAATGGGACTACATTTTTTTTGTGGGATATAACCCCAAACGTCAGCCGGAAATCAGGCCACAAAGTTGTCCAGAACCAGAGTTACATGTCTTCAGTCTGGTTTCAATAAGTCATGGATCTTCAAAAAGTGGTCTGCCTCCAGGTTGGAAGCGCAAGCACTGAAAGATAAGCAGGCCCAGGGGGGAGGTGGTGCCATTCTGGTGCTTGTCCAGCCTTTTTAAGTGAGGTGAGAATCATCCTATGACCCGTATGGTGGCCATTAGGAGGGATATCCTGCTAGGGGCATCCTTGCAATCGGCATGCTACCGGCATGACGAAGTGCGGAATCCCATGGGATGCCTGTTCTTCCACTCAGCGCTGGAGGTAAACCCAGTGAGTTTTAGTCGATATGTTGCTGCTCGAATCTGATTGTTGGGATCCTGTTTGCTGACGCAGCCCAAATATTATATATATAATATTATATTTTAATATATATATATTATATATATAATATTATATAAAATATATATATATATAAGATAATATATATATATATACGTGAATATGTGTGAATAGTTCGGAAGGCAGCCACCTTTTTTTTCCTCCTTTCTATCCCTGTTCGTGATTTTTCGATGGGATTCCTCCAGGACTTGAACAAAGATCTGCAAGATTTCGTTCAAGAGGAACGGCAGGTAACCAGTGGACTTGCAGATGACATGAGAGTCTTGGGAGGCCGGAGATTTGGATAGATTTGGAACAGGGATGGATGAGATCAAACCTGGGCCATCAAGATCTGTAACCGTGTAACTAGCGACAAAAATTGACACTTGACCCTGCGGTTTTGATAATTTGGCTTTGTCTGAAAATAGGGTACCCCTAAATCCGCTGGTTAATCATCATTGTCCCCCTAAAATTGGCAATTTTGTATAATTTTATGGTATCCCCAGTTTTCAGACACACCCATTTCATTGATTTTCTCTTTTGGTGTTGAAACCAACAGGCAACAAACACCAGAACCAGCAAGGTCCAAATGGGTTGGACCACCAACCAGGACCATGCTGGCCTGGAAATTGTCCTGTAACCAGCCTGGGCAATCTGTCCATGGCATGCACCGACCCACTGCGGGGATTGCCCTGCGTTCTTTTTGTGTTGAATTACCAGCTTGAATACACCCCAAAATGTGATGGTTGATCATGTTGATCATCATTTTACCCAGTCAAACTGCCAGAAATTGGGGGCAAAGCGCCAAATTTATCCAAATTTTTGGTTGAGCCTTGACTTGACTCTTGTCAAAGGCGAATGTCAGAGCCTGGCCGAGAGCTTTCAGAAGCACCAGAGCGCAACGGAGCAGAGGTGCCATGCAGTTCGACCGGGT